TTACAGAAACTATAACAATACCTTTAAGGATTTATACAACTTTCTTCAACTACAAACTTGCATTTGTACAGTATTTATTGGTATAGAGCATATAATGCAATCTTTTTATTTATGTAGGAAAAAAGCTTCAATAAGTTTTGACACTATCCTCATTTTATAGAAAAACCTATCACTTGAATAAAAAAAATAATTACAATTATCTTTAACTAGTACGAACAAGCTAGATTTGGTTTAGGTTTAATTTTCATTATGATATGTCTTTACTGGTCTTATGAAGCCTGAAAATATCACAAAAGAAAGACTGCTTTCCTTGCCAAAGGACATCTGAACACAGAAAAAGCAAAAAGCATCTAAGTTATTTCAGACAACGCAAGAGCATATATTTCAAGACAAAGGCACTTTACATATGGCAGATGGTAAGTACTGATAAGCAAACAGAGTCCAAGAAAACTGAATATCAAAAACAAGCAAAAAGACAAAAATAGAAAGTGTTAAGTAAAGAATAACAATGAACTATCTAGTATAATTAATTATAAAAATGCAATATATACTTTATTTCCATATTTAATATTTCTATGGACACAGAAATTAGTTGTTTCTGAAATTTATCATTTTATTTCACTCCTAAAAACAGAGATGGACGTTCATTGAATAAAACAAGTAGCAATTTCCATGCATGATAAATTTTCACTGATTTTCAATACTGTAACTGGTGAATACAGAACCAGTTTAAAAATTTTATCTAGAAAGTATTACTGTAAAATACCACAAGTAGATTCAATAATTATTAAATTAGTACATATATTTCATTTGATATTCAAAATAGTATACTGTAGGGGTAATATAATTTAAATATGTGAAAAGTGGAGAATATAGTCTCCCCTAGACAAGAACAGAGGGTTGTTTATATTCAGTTTGTGTGATTACGTACTTGAGTATCAACCACTATGGTATACTACTTTATAACATATATAATTACTTTATTAAAAGTCTCTATACCACATTTAGAACATCTTGCCTAAAATAAACCCTTAGATTATATATATATATATATATATATATATATATATATATATATATATATATATATATATATATGTGTGTGTGTGGTGCAATGGATAGTGACAAGAAATTTGTGGACCAAATTCAAATTCCAGTCAAGTTAAAATACAGTTGGGAAAAGTATTATTTCTCTCCAGAGGGGTTAAATAGTAGGACAAACTGGGCTCTTCAGCCTTGATTGGCAACCAATCTAGGAGAAGAACAATTTTGAATTCAAAGTTGTATATAGCTCTGCTGAAACACATGCTATTCAGCAAATGAAAATATTAATGGAGTTCACCATGATCCCACTGTCAGTCATTTTTATATATATATATATATATATATATATATATATATGTATCATTTTTATATATATATGTGTGTGTGTGTGTGTGTATAATAATGTGTGTGTGTGTGTGTGCGCACACACACAAAAAAGAGAGAAGTGAAGTGTTCTTGGTCATACCCACTTTAAAAAATCTAATCAAATGATTAAACATGAGAATTATTTTTTAATTTCTATTTAGTTAGACTAAGAACGTCTTCTCTGTACCTTCACATATATCACAGTGGGGGGTTGAAAGACCAAACAAAAGAAAATGAAATGATGGGTGCTTCCAAGTCACTGACCCCAAATTAGAGATGGAAAACTGTAACAAAACCCAGTATCAAAACTGGAGACAGTCCAGGGTACTTAGCTATGGCTCACTTCAGTTTGATTCAGACGTGATATGCAGGTCAAATTGGCTCTAGGAGAATGTTTTTTTTTGTGGGGGTGCATTCTTGCTCCCCTGTCATATATGCAAACCTGAGAAGTTCTGTTCAGTGGACTTATGACACACTGAGCACCATTTTTCTGCAATTATTCTTTCCAAAAACGTGTAGCTGGACCTACCACTTTAAACAAATTATTTATGTGGGTGGTTTAACAGCTCCATCTGACTTACATTCTTACTAAAATGTTTAGATCCTCATATGTTGAAATTCACAGTCCATTGTCTGTGTGCAAGATTAAATACACTTATTTTAATATCAACAAGTGTAAAGCTGTTACACTGAATTAGCCAGTAGGCAATGTAAAAATTACTTTTTAATTTACCTAAAAATATCACCAATATCAATAAGAAAGGAATTTAAAACAGTGACAAAACATTGGAAACTCTTTAGCTATGTATATTTTCCACTTCTCTAAAATAGAATTTCAATGTGTGCCTCCACAAGATAACAGTGCACAATACTGACAAGTCAATGAAGATACTATGAAAACATACCAAATTCAAGCAACCATATGACCATAAGAGGAGAATGATGACTACACAAGGAGGTGCTGAAAAATTCTAAAACAGACTCATTTCCCAAAATCAGTGAAATCAAGTAGATATCCTAGTTAACACAAGATTTGAATCTTCCATTACTTAACATGACATTTTATTTTATGTCAGTACTTGGTCAGTAACTGTCAGCTAGTGTGTGTGCGTGTGAAGTGACCCTATTGCCCTTGGTCCAAATGTGAATCTTACATTCTCAATCTGCAATGTCTTAGAGACTGTCCGACCTCTCTCTCTCTCTGTATGGTATATTCATCTATCCAACAGTTTTTATCACCTGTATATCTCAGGTGCAGCATTGCCCACAGGTGTTCTCTTCTTGTGGTCGCAATGGACTATAAGTTAATTGCCAATCTCAATGCACAGCTGGGAGTCATCTCTGGCCAACCATGCACCTGGCTTTCTTGGTCAGGTGTGAAACTGAGTGCAAAACCAGTTCTGACATAATACTTCACCAGTATTTTGATGTTGGATCAATAAGATATCTGATTTTTGGGAAGTGAGTCAGGCTAAGAACTTTTCAACACACCCTCATATTATTAATATGCTACCTTAGATATACTTTAGAAAATACAAAAGTAGAGAAAAGAATTAATAGTTCTAACATTCCATCGTATGTACCAAGTTAAAGAAGCTCATAAATATCAAAGAATAAAAGCAATAACTTTTAGAAATCACTAAAAATAAAACCTCTGATAAATGTAATTGAATCTTCAAGTAGAGAGTGTCACCATGTTTCTTAAGATAATGGTAACTGCTTTTGTTTCCATTTTTTATGGAAGAGAAAATAAGCTGATGAACAGGAAGTTGTTTGTGCTTGGACTATCACAGTGTGTTAGGATGCCTTATACTATGAGAATAATTGTAGCTGACGGATGGTACACAAGTTGATATTCAATCAGTATCAACTGGATCACCATGGAGAAGGGAAACAATGTTGTAAAACCTGAAATCCTTAATGATCCTCGGCTAAAAAACATCACAGATGATGTGTGCCAAAGCATCAAACAGATGTCTTTCATGAAATTTAATGCTTAATTTAAATAAATAACATAAGTATATGTTGGATTTTAAATAAAATCTATTAATTCCTTAGAATTTATTTATTTTTGTATCTGAAACATAAACAAAGCAAATATAGGCTTCAAAAGGCCCCAACAAGAACTATATATTTTATAAAAAGATGAATTCAAATTTGCTTTGCTTTCAAGTCATTTGTGACTGAGCAGTCTAGCTTAAAGGTGATTCCCCAAAATAAGAGGAGAAACAGGCTCAAAACCTGTCATAAAGAATCACCCACAAAAAACAGGGATGTCTTCACAAATATATGTATCTACTTAATATAACATTTATAGTACTATGAAAGAAGTTATAATAAACATATAGGTGCCTATTGCTTGTTTAGCAGGTTTTAAATTGATAATAGGTTCAATCCTTGCTGAGTGTTCCATATAATACAGCCTTGTATTAAATCAGCACTTCCTAAACATTTTTCATTAAATGACTCCATTTTTCATCACAAGATTTTTTGCAATCACAGGTATTAACCAACTACACTGAAAATACACATGTTGTTACTGTACTAGTCGTAACCACACTGCATATGCATTTTATTACCGCAGTGCTTGTGTGGCATATCATGTTAAACATTGTGCATTTGTGAAATAACATATAAACTGAAATTCCAGTGTTTGAATTTAATTTTCATGAACCCAATATTTCAGTTTGCAACCTCATTTGGTGTTGCGACCCATAGTTTTTAAGAAGTGCTGTATTAAGCAAAACTATGTATATATTTATACTTCAATAACATCTTAACATTTAATAAGCATTATAACATTTCATTAAAGGTTGTGACATCACAACATTTCATTAAAGGTTGTGACATCACAACATTTCATTAAAGGTTGTGACATCTTAACATTTAATTAAAGATAATATCTGAAATGCAATATTAGCACAAGCATAGTCATTATTGCAAACACACATGAATACGCACTATGTTAGACATGCACATGGACTCAATGAAGCATACACCATAATTATGATCACAGGATGAGTGAGTAAACAGCAAGTGTGATTTTACAAGCATATACAACTGGACAAAGACAAAATTCACAGGATTATGAGTAAATTTTTTCCACTTTTTATCTCTCGCATTTTTTCTTTTTTTTCTTTTTGAACAAGAAGGAATGTTGTCTTCTTTTTTTTTTTATTTTCCAAAGGTGCAAGATTTTGTATAAAACTGAAAAAGTGAAACCAAAAATCACAATTGCAACCAAAAAGCGAAAAGAAAACAAACAAGATTAATAAGTTTGGGGTTAACAAAAAAAAAAAAAAAAAAATCAGAAAGAAAGAAAGAAGTAAATAAATGGAGTGCAGACTGAGGGAATGAAAATAAGAAAGATGAAAAGAATGAAAAAAAACTAACAAAAGGAAGTTGTTAGGTAAAAGGGCGATTCTTTCAAACTACATAGTAACCACAAAAAAGAAAAGTGCAAGTTTTCTTCAGTAATTTTTTTTTTTTATTCATTCAACATTTTCTTCTCTTTTGTGATTTCGAGTTTCACATTATTTTAATATTTTCAATGCTGAGTGACACATAAATTGAAAGTTTAGTTCACCAACCTGTGGCCGAAGCATGGCAGTGAACTGAAGTGTATGCTGCGAATTGATGTGCCTAAAGTACAACGACTGTAAGTTTTCCCACTCCCACCAGTCCATAAGGTCCTTAAGGTCGGCGTAAGGCTGCTGCTCTTGCACGGATTTTGTGATCCACAGGAAGGGAGACTCCCGCGGTTGGTCCCGAATGTCTACGCCCAGGGGGAGACGCTGATCTCCGTTGGACACTATGTCGGTGCAGCACTGAGTGACAGGAGAAATATGAATTTATGCTCAGATACATACACCAACCTACTACGTCACCTCGCATTATCACATTACGTGGCAGAATTCGTTTTTTAAACACACGGACATTTGTTGATAAAGAAACATATAAGATGGAAAACAAGTGTCAAGATGTATACAGGAGGATGCATTTGTATATGTGAATAGGTGTACCTCTCTTACCTATTTACTTTATATATATATATATATATATATATATATATATATATATATATATGAACCCAGTAATTTCCATACTAATAAGCACAAAGTTATAAACTTTAAAGTAATGAACATGGAAAGAGAAACAAAGAAAGTCTAGTTGGCTAGTTTAAACTTGTATTATTGCATTTGGCATGAAAATTGCATCAGAAATGGTTATAATTTCAATTTAATACAATACTAAGATTTCTAAATTGCAGCCCTGTATGTAAGTTTGCATTAAAAATTCTATGTCCATTTTAGTAACATTCGATATACTTATGGTATGTGTTTTATTAAGTATACATGCACACTTTTTTTAGGTACAGCTTTCTCCTTTGTATGATAGGTGCCACTGCTAGCCTATGGCATTTGTATATTTGACACAAGTGTCCAAAATCATTGTTACAGCTTAGATAGAGCCAGGATCTCAGATCCTGATTTCCAAGACAGGCTTAATTCTCTTCAAGCAGAAAACTAACAAAATATTTATTTGAATTTTTTACATGAAGACTAATCTTTAATATACACTGATTTATTTGAACAAGTGTCCTCATTTTGGTTGATATAGTCACAATGTTTCAGTTGATGTACCTCCAGGCCTTCTTCAGGAGGTAACATTCTTGGAATTTTGAACTGAACTCTTTATTCAATTACTGTGGCAGAGTATCCACATTTTACTGTCCATAGTATAAAATAACTCATATCAATGTTTGTTAAATCTGTGTGGGTGTATGTGAAAAGTTGGCCCTATTACCTATGGTGCAAATGTGAATCTTACATTCTCAATCTGTGATGTCTCAGAGACTGCCCAACTCTTCTCTTCCTCCCTAGCATTTGGTATAGTATATCTATCTGTCCAACAGTTTTTCTCACCTGCATATCTCAGGCGCAGCATTGCCCACACATATTCACCTCTTGTAGTCACCACTGACAATGAATGAATTGAAGATCTCCACCCACAGAATATATGACATTTTGCACTCCTCATGATTTCACCAATGATTTTCTCCACAAATCCATGTCCTGTAGTCCTGTTCAGTCATGAACAAATTAATTAAACAGCAATAATGGTTTTGAGATATTCTCCAACATAGACAGCAGAATGAGAACACTCTACCTCTATAGATTGAATAAAAGGTTTGGTTTAAAATTCCCAGAAGGTTGTAACACAACAGACATCTGAAGATGGCTGGAGTGGACAACAACCTAAATGAAAGGCTGTTTGATAATTAATCAAGATGAGGACCCTAGTTCAAGTAAAGGAGTGTATAATAATCTTTTTACCTGTGGTATATTCAATATGTTTGGTGTTTTTTGTAAACATCTAAATGATCTAACTTTTTAATTGAAAAAATGACAAAATGATGATTGCAGTGAATATAATTCCATTCCCTACCATACTGGTCAGAACTTTGACAACCAAAACTGAATGGTGGTGGTTTGAATACCATGGGCATGGAATCTTAACATTGATGCATTGTCTTCTTCTAAGTTTTGATATAAGACAGAAATACATGCAAAAACCAGTAGTTTGGTTGAGGCAGTAGAGAAGTCAGGAGCTCTGATGTTCATCCAAGCCTTCCTCTCCTATAAAAAAAGGAGACAAGCTATGCACGAAAAGAGGCTATGTAGCTGGTCAACCTGTTGACATCTGTCCTCTCTCTCTCCCACTTTCTGCAAGAAATGTTGCCTAATAAAAATTGGGCAAAAAGAAACCTGAAGAAAATTCTCTGTTGTTGATTCAGCCTGCTGATGCAGCATTGTGTCCCCTACTGAGGAACTACTGATAAAATACTGGAATCCAGAGACAACATGTAATACAACACTAGCTTACCTGTTTATATATCTCTGATCTTGATATGTGCAGTTATGAGACAATAACTATCATTCTTGTCACATTGCAAGTCATAATGTTTTGGCTCATCAGTGTATATGCGTGTGTGTCTATATATGTAATGCTCTAAAAGTAATGCCTCTTATATATATCTATCGAAATTAAAACAGATATAGAGAACACAATAATATAGAGTGAGTTTTCAGTGAAAAAAATACTATTTTTCTATATAGTCACCACCATTGGCTATACATTTTCACTGGTGATGAACAAGAGCTTGCATAATACTATGGTAAAATAGAGCTTGTAAAACATACATTACATTTACCTCTATTAAAAGGCATTACTCACTGCCTAAATGAGTCAGATCCACTGTTTGGTCTCCATAAATTTTAATGAATATCAATTGGTGGAATTTTTTCCTGCATGGATGAATTCAAGGCCACATCTCTACTTTGTATGTACTTTCATGTCAGATGGCATTTTGTCAGACTGCAACCATTACATGACAAAATCACCATGGATTATTGGCAAGATCTGACACTGTGGGCCAGCATAAGAGGCATTACTTTTGGATGTATATATATATATATATATATATATATATATATATATATATATATATATGCTTATTTTAATCTGACATTATTTTTTTATTACTATAAACATTATTTTTAATGAGCACATGTGTTTGAATTTGTCTCCCTGTTTTTTTTTTTTTTTTTCTTAAACAGTGAAATTAATAACAACTGGACTACTAAAAAGAAAAAATTGGGCCCCTTGACAGAAAAGAACCTGTATGCCATTTTTCCATCATAGAAACTGCTCCTATATCAGAAATATGCTGCGACCAATGTTGAAACATGCACAATTTTGTTTTTCTCAATCAAGGCCATTTATTAATAATTTCAGAAAATAAAAACAAGGATAGCAACTCAAATATGTATACCCATTAAAAATAACATTTATAGTTATAAGATATTTTTTATATATGTATGTATGTATGTATATGAATGAATAATCAAAAAAATCCTTTTACCTCATGTGGGGAATAAAATATTTCAGCAGATGATGAAAGTGGTTGTCTTTCCAATGAACTTCATTCCACATCGGGGTTGAAAAGACAGATTACCACTTTCATCATCTGCCAAAATAGTCTATTCCCCACATGAGGTAAAAAGAATTTTTTGATTATTCATTCATATTGCTCTGTATAAATAAAATACATTGAGCTCTCCTTTGTGGATCAGTTTTAATATTTTTATATTACTAGGATCCATTCAGATTATATACTGATGGATTTATTTTACCTTTTACTATATATATATATATATATATATATATATATATATATATATATATATATATTAAAAATTTTAGATAGAGTATATCTGTAAAAGGACAATGGGGGATTTTATAGAAGCAAATAAAAGGATTTTATTTTGTGAGAAGTATTTATATACAAGACCAAAAATGTTCATTAGGTTAGCAGAAAAGTCAGGCAAGTTCATGGACGTAAGATGATATAGTTCAAAGCCTAATGAACTAATTTCGCTCTTGTATATAAATACTTGTCACAAAATAAAATCCTTACATTTGCCTTGATAAAGTCCATCAGATGATGAAGTGTGTTGGCTAAGATAAGTTTTTTCCTTTTATATATATATATATATATGCATGCACACATAAAATACATATGTCAATATTGATATGTATTTGATTTTATTAGTATACAAAATAAATACTATAAAATAACACATCACTGTAATTTTTTAAAATTTAAGTTTAGGAAACTTTCATGTTTTGTAATCAAAATCCTCCCACACCAACAAGTAACGTTAAAGTAAAGTGAATCATATATAGTACTAAATAAAAGTGTTGCTTTTACAAGTAGTTCTTAAAAAAAGATTTGCATTTAGTTTACAAATGGTGATCTATATTTTGACCACAGCAACAACAGTTCTCATCAAATCACATTTCTCTTCTTCTTCAATGATTAATTGATAGCGGAGGGGAATATCTAGAAAATTAAACTAAAAAAAAAAAAAAAAAAAAAAAAAAAAAAAAAAAAAACACTAAACAAAGAATTGTTTAGGTTTTGAAAATTCCTCAAACAATTAAGAAAATTGATAATTTTTTAAAAAATTCAATTTAAAAAAATTATTTTAATTTATTTCATCTAAATTATTATATATTTAAATTATTTCATTTATTTTATTTTATTCAATTAAATTTTAAAAATATAAAAATTGATGAAATTCCTCAAACAATTAACAAGAAAATTATTGTTAAGTGTTTTACTTTTGGAGAAAAAAAAAAACAAAAAACAAAAACTGAAATCTTTCAGCTATTCTTGGCCAAATAATGAGTTTCTTGAACTGACATAGATTCATAGAATTAAAAACGAATTCCTTAACTTAAAAGCTAAAAATCCCTGTGTCATTAGGATTATAATTTTATAATTGCGTTATGAAGATACTATATATTTTCCTTTTCACTTGTGTCTCTCTGAAAACAAATCTTGACCCAAGGAAATTAATTCTCTACAGCCATTGTAAAAACACTCATCTAGAAGGTATGAATGCATGAATATATACATATCTCCGATGCAATGAGAACGAAAATAATATATAAATTCTAACGTTCACAGCATTAATTCAAAAAAGGGCTTGATACCAAGGAGAAAATATGTATTATTGAACTTTTGAACAACACCCAATTATCAAATCAAAGATATGAAACCACTGTTTTTTGTAGACATATTAAAGATCTAACATTACATTGCTAAACATTTAAATCCATAACTCTAAACATTTAAAATTATAACTCACCTCCTTTGATATACTTCCTACCCTCTTATGTACCTCTCCACTAATTTATCTTAGATTATGATTCTTTAAATGTTTTTTTTTGAGCATATATATTACTAGTAATACTTTCAGATAAATTGTTTTATATCTATACTTATTCTACACATTATACTGTTCGACAATAGGTCAAAATTAGAT